AAAATCAATAGAGAAGCATGTTTGAAGTGAAGAATTATAAGAGGCAGAACTATTTGTAATCAGAGTTTGTTGAAGCAAAAAAGATATTAGAATTAATAATTAAATAATCAAGACTTTAAAATTAAATATTCTAAAATTTAAGATAGTATAATGTAGCATTGTTAAACCCTTGATTAACAAGTTACAATACTTGACTAAGTGTTCGAGTAGTTAAAAAATATGTTTTATATAATTTTATAAGGGCAGTGTCATTTATTACCTGATTTTTTTTTATCAGAAGCTTATTCTCTCTCCCCCCTCTTATTATATAACTTGATCAGGTCTTTATATATAATTTTAAATTTTTTACCCCCCTCCCTTTTTAAAAAATTATCTGATTTTTGTCATGTCCCTAACAGAAAATAGTTTATACAGAAGATAAAATATTGTTGACTTATTATAATATGGTCTCAATAAAAAAGATTATAACTAACAGTTTATAAACTAAAGATAGATTTTATTAACTCAAAGAATATTCAAAAGAATAACACAAATAAACAAATAAAATAACTCAAGAAAATCAAAATAATTTCAAGAAAATATCACAATTATAACAAGAAAACAGACAAAATTTAAAGAAAAAATAAAAATAACCCAAGACTCAAGACAAAAATTTTAGACAGTATATTAAAAATAAAGTATTATAATGATCAAAATATACAGACCAACTGTCCCTTTATCTTAAGAAAAGTATAGGGTTTTAAATATCTTTTGATAATATTATAATACTATAAGATAATATTATACAATAAAGCAATAATATTACAAATTATTATAATAATGAAATAAATCATTATAATAATATTGTGTATTACTATTTAAATTGTTATTTATCAATAATAATGCTAAAAATAACTATAATAATATTATTTTACAATAAAATACTATTCTATAATAATATTACATATTATTATAATAATCATTATATATAGAAATCTGATATTTCTATATCTCTTTTTTTTATTTCCACACCCTACCTCTGCAATAACATTACCGCAGTATATATAAATAAATATTATAAAACAACGATTCAACAAATCTTATAAAAAATATAAAACAAATAAAATTTATTATTACTCAATTAAGCTTTAAATTATTATCTGATATTAATTATTACAAAAATGTGCAATCCAGTAAATCCGTTTGTTCTTTGGATGGTTTATGTTCTACTACACTAATCTGGTTTTTTGAGACAAAATTAGAGCCAGAACTGATCTCTTTAAAAGCATCATTCCAAGATAGGTATTTCACAGATCAGTATAGTATAAATAAGCAGTTTTGTATAGTATAGAACGAATTTTTAAATCTATACTATATTGATTCAGTGTACTATATATTAACGTCCGGGTTAGGAATTATAGCTGATCGGTATATATAGTATAAATTTTAAATTTGGCCTATATTATATGGATCTCTCATCTGTACTATACTAATCTGCTATAATTTCTCTTGAGATTCATGTGATTGCTATGTTTTGCACAAATGTATCCATGAGTTAAATAATAGGATAATCGATTCGATCATAATATAAATGAATAAAATCATGCATCAAATCAATTGGAAGTTAAAAATGATACATATAATGTAAATAAAAAGGAATAGAAAGCATTCAAAAATCCAAATTCTTCTTCCTGTTACTATTCAATAAAACAAAATAAAGACCAAACTCTGTAATATATAATAGTTTTCAATCAAGTATACCATCGTTAATATAAAAAGAAGAGTTAAAGAGATTATTTTCAACTTATCTGCCATAATTACAAGTAACTGCATTATATTCGATATCTATGTTAGCTCTACCAGTTGATCAGTTTCTAAGCCGGAAATCATTAATTGAGTTTGTACAATCATTTGGTGCCATCAATAGTTATAGTATATTTATTGCAAGATCAAAGCAACACAAAGTATATTTGTATTGTAATCAAGGAGGAAAGTACAGAAATCGTTTAAACCTCACTGAACAAACATGACAAAGAAATACAAGTACCAGAATGAAAAAATGCCCTTTTTCAGTTTGTGATACTAGAAAAACTGACAACAAGTAGATTTTATTAATTCGTGATCCAACACACAACCATGATCTTTCAGATAATGCATCAGCTCATCTATCACTTTGAAGATTGAACTTGCAAGCCCAGCAGCACGTGAATGAAATATCAATAGTGGGTATTCATCCTAGAGAAATATTATCATCACTTCATCAAAATAATTCTTCACTTTTAACAACATCCTGGGATATCTATAATATTCGTACAAAGCTCTGTCTAGAAAATTTACAGGACCGCATGCCTATTCAAGTACTTATAAAGGAGCTTAATGAAAATTAATTCGAATATGACTATCAATGTGATGATACTGAACATGTAACACATCTTTTTTTTTTCATTATATTTTAATACATATCTACTACACGGTCAGGACAGATTCTACTATTATAGCCAACTTTCTTGCATACACCACATTTTCTTCTATTCATTCTAGCTTTCTCTGACTCAAATGTTGATAGATTTCTTTTAGTCAAAGATTGAGCTTTATTTTCTGAACCAACAGGCCATCCTCTTGTATGCTATATTGTTGGATCCAAAACTATAAAGAGCTCTTGTATAAATTGTGACAATTTATTTCACACTGCTACTTGTTGAGAAGATAACAAAGAAACATATCGTTGATGGATTCTTGCAGTAGTTGTGATGATGAGCTTTCTGTATCCCTGGATTGCAATTTATTTTCAAACTACCAATGTTGATTAATATCTTCAAGCTTCAATAATTCATTTATTACAAGACATTCCTGAATAGTATGTGCGTATAGAAGACCCATAGTCATAGTGAAAATACTAGTGTATGATTCAAGAGGGTTAACAGGGAATGCATGTAAAACTTTATCAAATTGTTCATGCTCCTTCTTTAAAGCATATGATGATATCTTAGTAATTAATTCAGCATAAAATAGGATATTTTGTTCATGAGAAACCTGAGTTTTATCTTTTGCAACCATTGCTTTTATCTCATTATACTGATTTTCTAATATTAATGAGATTCTTTCATGTACCAGATGTAAGTTACCTGTTGAAACCTGTAGATATTTTTTCAGTATTCCATGAGCTCTCTCCACGTGAGATATTGCCACATTTTCAATATGAAGATGATGATCGATCCATATACTTACAAAATGTTCTTTGTGTAAAAACCATGTGTCTTGAATATAATTAATAATTAATGGTTTATCATAATATTTGGTACACAATTCAGCCTACTGATTATTAAAATCATCTTCTGTTTCTGATTTTACCACCTTTGACCAATTTTGAAGAAATGTTGTCTATTCTTCTTCACTGTTAAAATGACTCTTACATTTAGCTAGAATGTTTTTTTCAACGTGCTATATGCAAAGAATATTCTTTGAATCAGGTGATATGTTCGAGTGCATGCATGAGCACTAACTCACGATCAGTTATAACTACTTTTGGTTTGTTAGTTTCATCAAATAAACGAAATACTCAAGAGAGTGTCTATTCATAGTCTTCTTCTGTTTCGTTTTTTATAAATACAAAACATGAATAGAATGTTGTATTAAAACAGGTAATTCTAACAATATTAAGAAGGGGTATCTTAAATTTGTTTGTTTTGTAAGTGCAGTCTATGAGCAATACGAAAGAATATGCACGAGTCAATTCAAAGGATTTATAATGTAAAAAAAAAGATGTGTTACATGTTCAGTATCATCACATTGATAGTCATAT